TCGTCCTCAGTTTCCGCTTGTGAACTTTCCCCATTGGGATGATGCTCATCGTCCAGATCGCTCGCTTCTTGATCATCTAAATCATCCACAACTTGCGACTTCTGCATAGCTTCGAGTAAAACCTGTAAGAAATATTGCATGGAGAGAGGAATCTGCGTTTGAATATTCATAATTGTAACAATTCCACACTTTACATAACTAAAAGCTTTAAATAATCAAATGAAATGTAATATTCAAGCAATCAGTGAAGTCAGATTCACTCACTCGAACGTTTTCCACACGTCCAGTTCTTGCCGCACAATGCAGCGGTAGATCTTTCTGTTTGTTGGTCTGCACGAAAGGAGCACCCCTCTCAAGCAGAAACTTCAACGGTGCCGGACCCTCACAAACGGCCGCATAGTGGATTGTATACCTAAAGAATTTCATTTTCATTAGTTATAGTATAAGAAGTAACCACAATAAGAGTGACGCGGCTCATAATCATAATCAGTAACAATAATGAAAGGTGATAACAGCAGAACTGTTAAGTAAATGATAATTTTAGCAAGATCATATATGATGTTAGCAAAGAGCAAACCAATTTTTTGCATCCGGAATATTGAAATTCGGCTCAACATCAGCAAGTGCTTTCAGATAGGCGACATTAGGATTGATAGCCGCCGTATGGATCGGCGTTATTGTATCATTCATTTGTCCCTTCTTCAGCACTGAGACTTGCTTGAATTTCTGAAAGAAGGAATGGAGCTTGAAAGAGTTCAACCAGTGATACCAATAGTGATAAGAATAACAATAATATTATCGATAACAATAATAATACTAAAACTGAAATCGGAAAAATGGTAATAATCACAATAAAGACAACGATATTCGTAAGACGAATGATGGATGTAATCACAATAATACTGACAATTCAAATTTTCCGAGAATCTGCATTGTATTCCGAACTAATTGATATTGAAATTGCAGTACCACATTAAAGTATCCGAACTAATTAGGTATTCACACAATTGATTCATTCAAGTATTCAATACACATCCTACACTACAATCCAATCTCCAATTGTATCAAGAGGATAGGTGGAAAATTTGCAAGTAGGAAATTCTCAGAGCAATATCAATAAATCTATTGAACACAATTCGTTTACCTTTAACGGTTGACGATCATTCAGAAGTGTTTGAAGGTGTAAATCATTGAAGTTGTATTTGGAGTATGCTTCAATCATTTTGCCAGCTAATTTACGATGTCCGAATCGAACCGCATGCACCACCAGAGAAGTACATTCGCTGGACTAAAAGTCTCATGTTTAGCCCGACAAAGTGTCTTGTCAATTCACTGAACATGAGTGAGAACAACAAGAGATTTCAATTGTTTAAGGTTACTGCACTCAAATATGTGGTACCATTTTGAATGGCCTAAGTCTGAGACAATAAGCATGATAGATTTATCATTAAGATGGTCTTCTTCAGGTCACTTTAGCTGCAATACTCTGCGCCTTTTCCTCACACTGGCGATCTCATTCAATGCACAGAAATTTCAACGGATACGGCGTAATTATATTCTCATGATTCAGATCATCCTAACAAATCGGTTTTGTTAATCAAAATCATGATTTCTTGAACTCACAATGTCAACACATGTATTATAGGTGGAAGCAAGACTTGCGATATGTTCCAGAGTAGCAAATGAGATATTCTTCTCGATAAGCACTTGAAGTCGTTCATTTAGGTCAGCATGAGACTCCTCATCATGCTTAAGCAATGCGTTAATTCCTTCACGACCTCCACGAGTCATTTGCACCGGACGTGTTCTATGTCCTAACATGCGCACGTTACTTTTACCTGTTTCCACCTGCAAATTTGCTCAAATTCATACGTTTCATAGGTTCCCAAAAGGAGATCGGGAATTTCCTCATTAGAATGAGTGTGCATTTTGACAAAATTGTACCAAGACCAAGATGACTACCTACTGGGACAGGCCTTTCCAGCAAGAGCCTTCCTATCTTTCAATTCCGCACTCAACGATATTCATTATTTAGTCCTTGAAGTAACTTGATTTTTCTCAGTTGACATGCGGAATTTTTTCCCCTTAAACACAAAACGTTTGGACCTCTACTCATTGGTTATTCAATCAGCCAAGATCAGTGCGGCAGGTGTGATTATCAGTATCATTATCATTCTCTAAATTGTCACGGTCAGTGAAAAATCGCCTGCGCCCATAAACTACCTCTTTTAGAAGCAACGGCTCGGTGGTCACTCTGCTTTGCGTGTCTTTTGCCAGTTTGTCGGATAGTTTCAGCATATCATCAATGAATTTCAAATCCTCTGTCAGTACAGCCTCACATTCGGGCGTCAGCTCATATGACTCCGAATAGGTCGAGCGGAGTGCATCCGAATGAAAATGTGCTCCATCGGCTATGACTCTTTTCAGTCCATTCAAATCTTTCTGCAGTTGAACAATCAATTGAACTCGTCACATGTATCATTTCAAAAATAATCTCATTGTATACCGTATTTATCGCAAGATGAATCAAAATCTCTCAACATCCAGCTCTTGAGCAGCCGATGGAATGTAAATTCAAAATATAGGGTTGACGTTTAATAAGAGCGACGTTTTCTTGAACAAAGCAGCATTGAATACCGTTTACTGTTCATTGGCTTTTACTGCTTCTGCTATGCACAAGGAAGTGAGGATGATATGAATGAACGATAACGATAATAACGGTAAATTTGATCTGGTGATAAACTTGATCTGATGGTAACATCCGAAAGGGTATCAACAATTCTTAGTGATGTATTATTGGTATTCTTATTTTAATTGTATTTCTTGCTAACAATTAGTGACTAAAGAAACCTCAACTTTAAATCGCCCAGAAACGATCAGGCATAAGCCCTTTCTCAGCCGTTGATTCAGGCCCGATGTGGCTCAACTCTGGTAACTGCGACAAATCTTTTGCTTGAAACCGAACGGTATACAATGGCTTTTAATGTACGATCGCTTAAAGATAAAGCTAACCTTCAAGACAAATCGATGAGCAATACGAGCATACGATGAAACGCTTATGAATTTCGGATTTGTTTTTCCGTAGAAGAAACTATTCAATTGCATATCCGGAATATCCAGTCTCGGTATCAGCTTATCGTTTTTGTGTTTTTTCTTCTTGGGTTCGGCTGGTTTTGGCTTGACTTCTATTGGTTTTGGTATATCATCACGAGGGCGTTTTGGAGACGATGAAGATGGAGTTGATACTGATTGAATATCTGATGACTTGATGCCCTTTTTAGCCGATACAGTCTTATTGGACTTCTTGACGGCTGCTCCCTTCTGCTTTTTAGCAGTCTTTTTGGAAGATTTCGCCAGTTTTTTAGCCTTTTTAAACTTTGATACCTTCTTGGATTTGCTCTTTTTCTCAACAACAGTAACTGTTTGTGTTTGCTCATCTTCGACTTCTATCCGAACGGGTGTCTTTTTCGGGGTTTTCGATGGTGATTTCACAACAGCGCTATCCTCCAAAGGAGTACTTTTCAGCTGCTGTGACTCGCCAAATCGAATTACTTTTTTGGAGGTTCTTGTAGAGTGTCGTCGTGGTGGTTTAGCTGAAATTATTGTGGAATTATGCTGGATCGAATGACAAAAAATGGATTTGTGTGCCTCATCTTGATGCAATTTTCATTCAATGTGAAGGAATGCATGAAAAGCTGTTGTCTATGACACGCTCACTTTAAACTGATTCAAATGGATTCTCATTCTTTTCAGACGCGTTGTAGTCACTCTCATAGCTATCACATGCGAATACCGTTCTCTTCAT